CAATAGTTTATATTACTTTCCTGTATGGATGTATCGGTCCAACTTAATGGGGAGCAAGCTGACGAAGGCATAAAAGGCAATTCAGCGGGTCCCCTGGGCCAGCTGTATGCGACTAAACCCAGGAGGTGGCAATTATAAGCCGATAGCTCCAGATCCAAAGGATGTAGCTGTTCTGTCAGGCTGGGAACTAGAAACCAGAGCAGAATAAAGTTGGCAGAGACTGACAAACGACAGGATTTAACACAGAGAATTTGCAGAAGCTGGGAGAAACTGGGCTGTCCTTTCTGCAGCACTGAAAGGGTGAGTCTTGTGGAGGAAGAGGTAAGCCTGTCGACCACTTTATTGTTTTTAACATCTATTTTGTCTTAAATGCTTTGGTGCTAAGCAAGTGTTTTGTGGTCAGTACTCAGGGTGGTTACTTCATGAGAGACCACGTGTTGGGTCTGCACCCGTGTCAGGTCTGCAGAGGTATCACGGCCCATACACTGGGGAGGCGACCTGAGAACCGGTGTGCATGTCGCAAAGCCGTGGGATTCTGCTTTTACTTATAAATATATATATATATATATCTCGATCTGGAAGAATGGTTAACCAACTAGTTGTGAGAGCATAATGCAATCAGAAAGTTTTTTTTCTTCTTTTAAAATGATTGTATTTATAAATAAAAAGTTTTCATAATAATAGCTGGGCTTCAACAAACAGGCTTAAACTTGACATTTTTATTTGTTTTCTTTATATTGTATAGTTTAAAAACATGATATGTGAGGTAAGAAAAATATATAAATACTGTGAATATAAATATCTCAGTCATGTCTAAAATAGTAGTTAGCTCCTGTTGTGCAACTGAAAGACACTACAAAAAAAAAAGTGGATTGTATTTTGTTCTCTTTGTATTCACCCTTATTGTACTGTTGTTTTAATCATTTACTGTATATAATCAGTGGTTGTCCCCTGCTGCTAGAACGGATATTTAATACATTGACATGGAAAAGAAACATTTTTATGAACAGGAAAAGGCAGGTACAAACCTCTTCTTCCATCGAATAGAGGGCTGTGCCCTGCTTTCTGCTCACTCAGTCAGTAGAGGCTTTCTGCTCCAGGCCTGGTCCACCACCTACACGTGTGGATACTGCTCCTACCCCAGTGTTTGATAAGGCCAGCACCTATGAGGGGAGGTGCCACACGGTTAGTCACTCGTGTCCCCTCTCCCTCCCTGGAGCGGGCAAAAGGGCCTAGTGCAGCTCGGCAGAGTGCTCGGCTTGGGGTTCGGAAGCGCTTCATGGAAGGGCTGTAAATGCTGTTGGTAGGAACAGTCCAAACGGTCCATCGTAAACAGGAATCCCAGACCCTCCCTTCAGACTCTTAGGTCTGCTTTTGTGGAGATCAAAGGAGAACACAATATTTTGAACAAAATGTGCAAGGGCCCACCCTTCCTGGATTGCACATCATGTCCTGCAGCTGTAATACTCTACAGAAAGGGGTTTTTTTTTCCCTTTTCTTTTTAAAATACATATCATGAGAGAACTGTAATAGATGGTTTCATGGGATCGCTGCCGGAAGTCTCTGCTCATCCACTTCTCCATAGAGTGTGTGTGTGCTTTCTGTGAAGAGCTGTTGATCATTACCAGCACCTTTAATTCAGCAGAAGTTCTTGTAATGTGTTACACTAGATGTAGGTGCCAAAACTGACCTGCAAACCTGAAATTTAAGTGGGACTCCAAAATTAATTTTACATAGATTGTGGAAATTAGACTATAAATGGAATTCCTGCGGGAACTGTGTAAACCTTATTGACATTCACTTAAAGTAATTCTTAGCAGGGTAAATTAAATTGTATAACCGATACATAGATTTAACTAGCACAGATCTGCAGCAGATCTTGCGGTGAGATGAGTATTGACAGGAACGCTCTGGAGTTTCTGAATTTAAGAATTACAGGTCTGGTTTATTGCAGCTGACTAGACACTCTGCCTTCATACTCTTCCCATCGCCCTGCTCCACCCAGCCTCCCCAAAAATAAAGCCCAAAATGGATCCAACAGGTAATGATACAAATGCATCATTTACCAAGAAGCTCAGTGCAGTCAGTATTTAATTTATGCATAGAATAAGAACATGCATAGAACATGCATAGAATAAGATACATTTATGGTAAAGATAGGCCAAAACTGAAATCATAATCTGTATTTAAAAATCAGCACCTGAATCAGAACCCTGTGATCAAATGAGACTAAAATCTTTGATCTCTAATGTGGGAACATTGAAATTCAGGACTAGATAAAACACCTGATGTTTGCAGTCTACAATGAAACTAGAATTATCAGATATGTTCTGTACTGTAGTGATAATAGTGTTGGCTGCAAAAGCTTTAAAAACTTTTGAGAAATATGAAAACGTTTAAACTATAAAATATTTGTATGATTCTGTACGATTTCTAGGATTTTAGAGGATTTTACTTCTAGATCTATACTCTGAGCAAAACATATGTGCCTCAGTAAAAATAAGATGCACTTTAGTTTGCCCTGTCAATGAAATAAATAGCTGTTGTTTCTCATTAGAATTTGCATGGAAAAGAAGAACAGTAAAGCTCAGATACAGACTCAATAGGTGTCTGTCCTGCAGCTGTCTCCACAAAGAGTGCAATTACTTTGAACGAGTTTTCCCAGGGTACACAATTCTGCCTCAACAGAGATAGTTTCAAGGTCTGAGTCAAACATGGAAAGTATCTTCTCTGAAATTAAAATTTTATATGCGCGACAAACAAATGCATAGTGTTGTTTGGTACAGTGATCTATATATATATATGGATCTAGTCATTCACTTATGAAAGGAAATTTGACTTCTTTTGAGACCCACATGTAAGCATGTTGGTTTGATTTGTTCTAGTAAAAGAAAACAGAACTGAAGGAAATACTTCCCAGTAGAAAGTCGGTGAAAATGGATTTTGTGATACAAGTCTAGCATTCTGTAATTGACTATTTAGTATTTTTTTCCAGTGAATGTATGCCTGATCCAGTAACAACAAACTTACCAGAATCACATTGTAGTAAAACCTCACTATCATAGCAATCTGATATACTGTACCTAATATTATTTTTAACGAGAAATTACTGAGCAAATGTGCTCCTTAGTGACTTATTGGACAGCTTTGTGAGAAATATTTGACCAAACCCCTGGTTGCTGTGCATTTAACAAGCTTCATGAATAGCCATGGCCTAACAGCTTCCAGGTTGTCAGACACTGATAATATTTGTGAAATTTTAGAAAATGAAACCCCTGCTATGGAGGCTGTTGTTTATTGGGATGCCGGAACTTGGGGCACTCACTACCATGGTGGTAGTTAGTGTCTCCCTGGAGCAGGGCCCGAGGCGTTTCCCCAGGCTTGAACTCCATGCAGTCCAAGTTCAAAGACAAAGGAGAAGATGGTGCTCTCTGTAATTAAGGTGACTTTCCTGAGGGGAAAAAGGAAAGGCTGAAGACTGATCCAAGCATATACAGACAGTGAACTGCATAATTCTGTGTCTGTCAGATAAGGGACTAGTTGCTCCCCTCTGTACAAAAAGAAATCTTTATCTCGAACAATTTTTGTGGTGCTCAGATAATTTAGAGTTATATTTTACTAACAAAACAGCTTTATTCTTAGAAGTACTAAAAACCTAATATTGTTATTGGTTAAAATCAGCCCCTGGTTAAAACAGACGAGCTGTTTTGTACACAACACTGAGGACAGCTATTAGGCACCCTCTTAAAAGAGCACCAAACCCAAATCGCTCAGTGTGTGTCCCACGCACTATTCAGCCATACTTTTAGAAAAGACCAAAAAAAGAAAAAAAAAAAACCCACACAATAAAGCACAAGGACATCTTTCACTCAGCGGCGTGGCCCGGTCGCGTACGGGACAACCCCCAGGGCAGTCCCGTGCCGGGTGCAGGGCTGAAAACGCCTCATTGTGCCCGGCAGCACCACATGGCGCGACGTGACAAGTGGCCGGAGGAGGACGGGGGTGTCCGGGCCCTGCTCCGGGCGCAGCCCCTCGGGGCCCACCCGCTCCCTCCCTCGCTGCCG